CTTCAAGTAAAAACAAGAAATATTTCAGCATAATATCGGTAAGTGTGGCCCTAAACCAATCCGCTGTGTACAACTGTTTTAGATTAACGCTGTGACCAAAGAATACACTGATGCAAAAGCATTCAAATAGCGTGAAGAGAAAAAACATTTCCCTTTCAAGGCGTCACCATCTCTCACTGTCCATTGGAAAAGGGAGGGGGCGTGGTGCAATTGATTAGCAGAATATAATGGGAGATTATACATAACGCGCGGCATGAATTTTTTTCATATTAACTGCAAGAAATTCACCCCATTGTGCTTCAGTATAGAAATTGCCGAAAAACAGGCAGCAGCTCGCAGACCTTTGAATAACAAAAACAGCATGGTGCTTTAACGTAGTAATGCCTAAACGTGTGAGACGTGCGGCCAAGCCGTCGAATGAGCGCGATGTCGGGATGCAATTCACTTAACCCATCGGAGAGCTGATGAAAAATCAGAACAAGACGTAGATGAAATTCTATAAATTTAAATAAATGTTAACGATTGCTTGTGATATACTTGATTATGGCTCCAGTGTCTAAACCGATAATGTCAAAATAAAGTAAATCATTTCGCGTCAAAATCTATGACTATCTTGGATTTATTGATAAAAGACATCTATTAAAAGCATATTTATATTACGTAAAGAATTCTGATGCGTCTATGACATCTTTACAGCTTCTCGATCTGTTGCAACTCTTCAGCCAGCAAAATTAACCACTCATTAATAAGTTTTGTTCTGTGCATCATTTAAGCCTATTGTTGTACGTAATATAATGGCTGTCGAAAACAAACAATTACATGTAAATACGCATAATTTGCATAGTGTTACTTCACTGTGCTTTGGTCGAACAATCGTTTCAGTCTCATGCAACATACAACCAGCGAGTCCCACACCGCATCCGGATTGTTATGATTCAGCTCACAGTCGCTGACACCGATGGCCTGGAAGATGGCCGCAAAGATATCCGCCCATTTCTCGTCCGTCTGAGGAACGTCTGAACTGAAGTGATCGCTGAAACCGAAGAATTAGCAGCAGAAGTCACTCATTCAAAGTTTGTATTTTACCTCATTACATCGAACCACGATCTCTGTGCGCCGAACGGCGCTTTCGTTAACAGCGCATTTCTGACGCGAATCTCAGAGTCCACCGGACCGCTGAAGGTGCCTTCTAGAACGTCACCGTTTGGGAAGAATATGCGCCCCTGTCGAACGAAAACCGTGTAGTAATGTTTCGGAAGCGAGCGACGGAGAGAACCGCCTACCACCACAACTTACTTTTCCGTGAACGACCTCAAGGGACGAATATTCAGCCTCGACCACCGAACTGTCAACTAAAAAGGCGCAACCGTTCTACGGATGGATTAAAGTGGTCGCGGCATGGAGCGAAAACAAAGTGTTACCAGAAACCGGCCTTCGACAAACTGGCCTTGAAAGCACAACCCGTCGAGGGTGACCACAAGCCCAAATCCGTGCTCACGATCGTTATCCCACATGCCGAGGTACTTTTTTGCTATAAAATATATAGTCAACATGCAAATATGCACAATAACCGACATGTGTAGTGCTCCCTTACTTCCAAAGTCGGCAACGCCATAGCCGTGCCGCTTGTCGGCCTTCCAAGCCCCGACATACAACACTGACCTAGCGCTGAACAGCACGCCGTGTCCCTCGCGGCAGAAATCACCGCCCATGTATCCCTCATACGAAGAACCGTCGGCAAACCTGGAAAGAAATGTAACGACGTACGGTTAAAAGACGGGCAGAAAAATCGTACTCAACAGACGCCAGACCACACGGCTTACCGTCCCTAAAGTTACCCTCTATCGTCCTCCACTTGTAGCCCGAAGGGTAGCTGATTTTCCCATAGCTTAACGACTAGTGTAATTATTTCAAAAGAACGAAAGATAGAATGCACACTACTAGCCAACTTACCCGTTAACGAGACCGGATGAAAACTTGCCTTCGAAGCGCCGCCCATCCGGCCAAACCATCGTTCCTCTGAAACAAGCATAACGCTCGCAAATGTATGCTCCACAGCCAGCCACCAGCTCACAAAATGTAATAACTTACTCTCCGTGCAGATTTCCTAAATACCAGAAACCATTATATACAGCCGACGCGTAAGTTCTGTGCTTTGAACTGTAAGTATACTGTGCTTTCCGTTTCAGGGGCAACAAACGTATTTGTCCGCTTTCTGAAGAGTTCCACCCGTTAAGAAAGGTGTGTACTGCCTGATTAAAGCATGTCACAAATTCATTCTAAAAAGATCATTTGCGGTATAACAAGACATGCATATTTGAAAATGGCGTAGGTCATGTAACAGACCAAAGTTATATATTTATGCATGAAATGAACAATACACCCAACACTTTACGTCTTAAATCAAATCTAACCTAACTACTACATTAATTACATTCAGCGAATGCAAAAATACGGTTCAAACGCTAGAAAACTGTCGCAAAATGAAGTGGATTCACTTCAGCCCTAGTGAAAGGTACAAACGTTGTTTACAACTTCATAAAACATCTGATAGCGAAGTAAAAATAATCAGAACATGAAATGGCCGTGAGACAAATCTGTCAAGAAAAGAACGGATGACAAACTTTAAACTTGGGAGGATAAATAGAAGAAACACGTAGTCAACGGCGGACAGTCGCGTTAACCGACTCTGAGCTCATATTTCTTCGACAGCCTGATTACTTCTCTAGGAACAATCATCTAGAAACTATCCTGTTTCTTCGTACAGGAGAAACGAAGTGCGTGGCGCAACGCCGATATGGTGTGGATCAATGCATGCAACAATTTGCTTGTTATTCCGTGTGTGTGTGTGTGTGTGTGTGTGTGTGTGTGTGTGTGTGTGTGTGTGTGTGTGTGTGTGTGTGTGTGTGTTTAATGGGTGGACCACAGCAAACTGGCAGATTGCCTCTTGAACACCGCGTATTGGTAGTTAATCTAGTACGTGGCGATAACGCTACAAGTCAGCAATAAAAACACTGCCAGAGTTCATTAGCTAACTGTTCACAGATTTGAGATGTTTTCAAGGCTATCGTAGCGGCTGAAGGTAACAAGTCCAATCTCACTTCACCATTTAAAGCATTCACTTACTTTGATCGTTGTTCGCTATCAGCGACGAAAAAATAGAGAGAATTTGGAAGGCAACGAAGGCAGAAAAGCTACTATCTACATTTATCATTGAACCAAGCATGGCAAGGAACTATTTTATCTTCCCCCCATTGTAGATGATGCTATAAGACTGCGGTGACGCAAAATAAGTGATCCTACTCAGAGAAAAATTTTAGTGTTTGGATAGGATATTCACGAACCGAACAGCCTCGATCAGGGCACCGTCTGTGTGCTCAAAATGACGTGAACAATGTGGCAAAACCATCATATGTTAAGTACTGCTTCATACAGGTTCAATTAATATATTTTGTTCTAACGATGAACTTGAAACGCATGAGGTTAAACAGCTTTACCTTTGTAATCGAGTCTACGAAACTTATCACGCACACGTGCTCAGGAAAAATCAGCTGAACCCTAAAACATTTCAATATGCATATTTAGTTAAAAAAACAGTGTAGAAGCAGATTAAAAACGAAAAATAAAAATCAGAAAATTCATCATAATCCATGACGACGTAAGTTAAAGCCGGCGAGAGGCAAAAATAGCAGATCCACATGAGTCATATTATATGAGCAACGGCTAGATTTAACGCATTATTCTTCGGGTCTACACTAAAGTATTGTGTACACCCATTGCTACTGTGGTGTATGACAGCCGCGGCACTACGGTATCATAGCAAAGGCTATTCACTGGCATACCTCATCTTGTAAATATGTAGATTTACACTTCAAAACACATAGCCGGCATTCTCGCACGCATTACTGATGTTTATGCTAATGAACATAACGAGCATTGACTTCGAAGGTATTACCGATGAATAACAATCGATTGCCTTTGAAAATAAAACAGGAAATGCATCCACGCGCTACTCTCGATAATATGCCATACAGCAGTTGCAACGACATCAAAACTACTGAAAGATGTCCAGAGAGCTTGAGTTGCTATTTATCTACCCGACTAGGATTAATCGGCTGGTAGAGCATCGGACTCAGAACTAAAAGATCCCCCGCTCAAGCCATTTTTTCCTTCCAATGTAAATAAAAGAGCACCATCCGTTGGGAAAGAAACAGTACAGTATACACTAGCTTGATAAGTAGAGGCCGTCGACCCTGATTTTTAAAAATAAGGAACTCTTGCCTGATGGCATGGAAATAGAGATCAGCAACAATTACATAATATAAGCGCAACTGCACATGTTATGCTTATAATCAAATAATCATACTCGCAATTAATTTCGATACATATTCATTAAACATTGTATAAACAATATATACGTATAAATAATCATGCACAAAATGTCAATATATACAAGTCTATGCATGTAAATAAATAGAGTTTGTTTATATTTACAATCAATTTATAATACGTTATGTATCGTAATTCTAGGAGTAGACAAAATGACGAATACAATACCATATTATACGTACAATAAATCCAACAGTACATATGATTAGACTAAGATAAATTTCGGTTGTCATACAGATATTCCACTATATCATGAAACAACTATGTGCAAACACAATGTATTACACATCTGCATAACTTCAACTCATACAGGTGCATAGTAACTATATAGTGCGTCTTAAATTTCACGGATCATTTTGGTGAAGGTGGTGTACATGAAATCAAAAATTCGGTAAAACAGCGTATATACAAAACTAGAGGCCCGCTAAACAACAAGTTATAAATTTTGAAGCAGAGGAAACTTATTTACGAGCAAAACAGCAGATTTTCTAATACATATTGCATATGCAAACTTCATTTTAACATAAGCTCGTTTCATCCAGCATGTTCTTCATAATCGCGTATGATGGGTACTCCAGATTTTAATTAATCAGCAGTTATATTTTTGTTTCATGGTCAATTGTGTTTTTCTCCTTTTCATCCATCATATAACAAATTCTAAAAATTATCTGTGACACAGGACAAACCAAAAACGTACAAAACTGTGTGAGGTCGTCTCTAGCTGTGAGACCGTAATAACAGTGATTAAATTTTAGGCTGATTCGGTGAAACATTAAATTTCAAGACGGTTATCCTAGCACAAACTAGTCAAACTATCTGATCAGCACTGGGAACAGAGGGTGAAACAGAGAATGCTTGAAGGGCGTTAGCTTTCGTTCATAACGCATGAATAATGAGAACAAGTCGAATAACGGATAATAGAACAATAATAACTACATGATCAGGTATACTATTCAATCTAAGGTGCAACAATTATGTAGATCTTACTTGTCGTCCGGCAAAGTGACCAACCATATCAACGGAAATGGATACAGTCTGAACGAGCTCTTCTACAAAGCAATGACTCAGCGACATCAGAGCATTGCAAAAAATACCATGAGAGTAGCGAAAGCGTCCGTGAAAATGACCACGTAGAAGATGGCGATGGTCGTGCTATCCTTGACGAAGGTCACAACCTGTGCTGGATGGGTGAACATACACACCACTAAGCGGTTATTTGGGGGTTCAAGTCCTTTCTGAAAGAAATTACAGATTTCGTTGATCAACAAACCAAAAATATCAATAAAAAATTCTTTGCGTATTATTACTCGACAGTTCAAAATACACAAAACAGCGCCGACGGCTTACCAACTTAAACCAACCAGAGAAATCCATACCCATCGCAGGATAAGAAAGCAATCTGTTTGAATCCCCTTTTCAAACGGATAGAGCGCAAAGGCACAAATTAATAATTAGCTTCCATTCATTCAGTCTTGCTTATGTTACGGGTATTGATAACGAAAAGCGTCGACTGTTCAGTAAAACGCTTCCATCTTTGCTTCAAAATCCTTGTTGCGATTTTCTAACAATATATGAAGAAAATAGTCCGTTGATGAATTACGGGTCCAGAAAAACTACTAGCATTCAAATATTTAACTTAAAAGTATCACAAAGTTCGCTTAGTTAATTAAAAGTTTTATCGCACAAACAATCAAACAGTTATTGAAACTACCTCTCTCGGCATTTACCTGCAAAAACATCTTGTCACTAAAGACCGATTGAGAATTTTTTGCCCACGTTAAACGCATTTTAAAGCACTGTTCCAAAGACTTGGTCTTCTGAAGAAACCACATAGCTGTATCGCGTCCGGAAAAAGCCTATAAAAGTTCAGGTCATAAAGTGTGACGACGAATTTATGAACAGAATAAAACTGCACTCACGCTGCTTTCGACGACGGCGCGAGCGACGTCGTTGAACTTGAACAATAATTCGCATGGCAGGTAACAACACTTTGGCAAATACCTGCTGTGACGAGTGCTTTCGATACCGTGCATTTCGCATAACTGTGTAACTTCTCGATCGACGTGGTCACTGGAAAATTCGATGAAGTTCTCAGGTCCATAAACTTTGACAACAAGAAATTTAGGCGGACACCATTCGTCTGATTCTGGTTTTTGACGGTTAGCAGAGTGTATTTCATGAACAAATGTTCATTTAACAAACATCTGTCAAGTGTAGATTAAATAAAGAACACATTTTTGTCTATTTTGCTGCTAAACATGCAACCAGAAGAAGTACTTGCTTCTGGTCAACCATGGCATAGTACTGGTATAAGTTAAAGTGACAGTACGGGCATAAGTCAAGACCACTTATTTACGATACTAATTCAATAAAATGCAAATACCGTGGTGCTTGCGGATAAATAACCAATACGCTATAAGAGAAATGATTCCTTGCGAATTAGTACTTCGACTCACTGACGCGGTCTAGCGTCCTATGTATTGTAGGCGCCTAAATGCCATCGTATGATATCCTGCTTAAAGAGCCCTCCTAGCCAACTAGAATCATGGAGGCAACTCAAAATTGCGGCATAATCCAGTATATTGACTTCTATCTGTCTTACGCTATCGCAGTAGTATTGGTGTAAGGTCCTTACCTTAAGTAAGAATGAAGGCCACTTGCTTAGCGGGACTCATTGCAGTTCAAGACAAGGAAAAGAAATAGACCCTAGCGCTTCCTGCTGACCGCTTCAATAAGGTCATTCGCATAAAAGAATAAAGGGAACCGCTTTATTAGAGGACAGTCAAATAAAACCACAACTGTTTTCAATGACTAAACGTTTATGGTCACACAGTTGGTTACGTACTCTTAAAATCTACTAATAATACATGAAAATCAAGACCAGTAGCATTAATCGCTCCTAAAGAGTAACAAAAGGCTAAGATTACAGAAAAAACGAACGATGGCATATGAAAGCAGTTTGGAGAGCGAGAAATTTGCAACTACTTCGATGTCGGACTCCCTTACACGTGTGTGTTGTTACATTTGTTGCACCCGGTGAAGACCTAAATTTCTATGCCAACAACTACGCGTGTCAAAACTGTTGCACTGCATGGTTTTTACCTCCTTCGTGTACAGTGGTACTTTATCTATTCAGGAAAAATTGAGACGAGTGATCAGTCGAAACTACGATCCGCTGATTTTAAGCTTGAAGCTCCAGCCATCACAACGGGACAGCTGCCATGACCGAGCGTCGTGCCTTCGAAGCAACCAGTGTTCCTCCGGTTATATGTTGAAGATTTTGGGTTAAAATTAAAGATTATAAATAACTCCGTTCTGCTCACTACTGTCAACTCTGACAAAGGAAATCGTCTCTGAATGCACTCATGTGCAACTCACTAGCAAAGTGTAGAAAGTCACTCAAATAAGAAGAATCGAGACGGAGCGGTCGGTGCAACGTTAGAAAGCTTATCCAACTCGTCGCCATAATAACAGTTACATCGCTGCTTACGGACATCAACATTTTGACGTCAGCGGCAATCTGCTTCGCACGATTAAAAACTGTCCGTTGAATTTAGCGAAGGAGGTTTAACACTTCTGTAGTTGATTTCTGACCCTGTAAATGTTGCAAACCGGCCTGACTAATATACGCATTAAAAATAACGTCATAATGCCACAAAAGTAAAAATGAACGCCATCATGCTTTCACTCTCTTTAAAAAATTGACTTTGGGAGGGGTGGGGGAGGGGCAATGTCGTAGTTGGTTTGTGGAGCGCGGATTCAAACACACAGGGTAAATTTTCATTTCTATTTTCACGTAGGCGAATATTTTCGTTTATTAAGTGCTAATTTCCATGAGGAAGAAATTCGCCCGTTGTTTGGGCGCAAACAGCCATAAAACGGGTAACAGGTCGTTAACCTGTCAAATAATATGGAAAGTACAGTGTTTCTGGTGAGGTAGTGCCAAAGCGTGCGACACGCTGTCTGATGCGCACGTTTCACCGCTACAATTTGCTATTAACCAAACCCATCTGATAGCTGCTTAATAACTAACACAAAGAAAATTGAAAAAATATGATTTAAATGAATAAGTTATGT